ACACTCAAAATTTTAATTCCACAAATTTATTAAATTTCTCACATGTTTCATAAGATAGCTTTTTAAATTAAACTTATTTCATGTCTTCTTTCACTGGTCGAAATTTAAGTTTAATCCAATTAAGATTCATACGATACTTCTGATTTATTTTAAGAATTCGTATTTTTTAATAATTTTTATAAATTTTTAAAGCATTTTGATTTATAAGCTATAAAACTTTGCCATCATCTTACAGTAGATGTATTTCTAGGCATACCTGCAAAAAATTACAGTTTTTTTATTCAGAATTTCGGAAGAATATACACTGCCGCGTTTTGAAATTTGGCATATTTGTTATAAGCAACAGGAGCGCTAAATATGGTTTATGCGCTTTATTACAATTTTAATTAATTGCAACAGTTATTTTTAACTTTTTAACCTTAAATTTCCACACAAACATTTATTAAACGCTATTCATGTGTTATTTCTTTATTCTCATTTTTCTTAATGATGCGTAGTAAATATTTATTAATAATATATGAAATGCTATTTTTTAATTTTATTAAGAATATTAATGATATTTTTCGGGGGGGGTAAGAGCAAATTTTTACCGTCGCCATTTTATTTTCTGATATTTTATTTAACTTCCATCTTATGTATGTTACCGGCAAAGTTTGAAATCCGGCATTCTATAGAATGCTTAGGCATTGTACATAATGCCTAAAATTAGCTTGCAATGTATGAAACTATTCATATTTCAGACATTTCCTAATGCCAAATGAGAACGGCAAAGTGTGAAATATATCTCAGTATCTCTCTCAAAGTACGAAATACATAATAGAAAGCGTCGAAACAATGGAAAAAGTGAAACTGATCAGATTATGAGGGAAAAAGAGCCTGTTTCAAAAACCATGGATAAGATTATAGTCGATAGTGGATTAAACCAACATAATGAAGACATGCTTACGGAAGCGATTTCCGTATCTGATACCTGTTGTATGTGTTTAAAGGAAACGAATGATGCACTCTTGCATGCAGAAAGTATCGTAAAAAAATTCATACCTTCTGTGGCCATGCTAGTAAAGATGATGAAATTATTTTATGCACCGCTTGTTTCAAAACTGAAAATGCTACTGAAGGTAAAATAAATTCTAAAATTAATCGGGAAATGCAAGCCCAAAAAAAAAAAAAAAAAAAAAAAAAAAAAAAAAAAAATTCCACTGCTTCTTTGGGAATTACTGTGCGAGCTCTTATTCCTGACTTCGACAAGGGGCGAGTTGATTCGCGCAATACATTAGGCAGTTGTAATGAGTGTGGCAGAAGATGGTTTTTACCAACTAGGAACTTCTGAAGAAATTTTAAAACAAGTATATGCGACATCACAATTCACTTTATGCCTTAATAACTTGCCTAGTACTGAAGATATTCCTGACCACAAAATTCCTCTCGGTTACAATTGCTCAATCCTGTGGAAGCAGCCAAGGATTCTTCATATGTGTGTGTAAAACAAAATGCCAAAATATGAAATGTCTTTGCGTGAAAAAAATGTAATGGAATGTAATTCTTAATGTAATGGAATGTAATTCGTGTTAAGTAGATTAATTTTAATTTTTTATTTTTTATATGAAAATTTTGATTCTCTTAATAAGAAAGGCCTAAATTTTGTTTTGTACAACTTTCATTTTTCTTTACATATTTTGAATAAATCTCACTCTTATTATTTTTTTCAGAATAGCATTTGTATTTTTGAGGAATGCACGTCATTTATATAATAACCTAGGTTCTTTTCCACGCTTTGCCTGAATAGCATTTGTCATTCTATAGAATGCCTACGTAATATATACAATGCCTAGGGAAAGTATGTAATAATTCTCATATTTCATACTTTGCCTAAAAACACCCGGCGTTATATTCAGTGCCTAGACATTCTATAGAATGCCGGCGTTTCATACTTTGGTGGTAACATGTACAACGAAATTTACTTGCAGATTTGAAATTATTATTTCACATGTGTATTTAATGCTTCTGAATACTTCAAACAATGCGCCAGAAATATTGAAATTAAAAAGTGCTATCTTCTTCTAAAGAAATATTTAGCAGCCGCAAAATTTACTAGAATGTAAGTTTTTTTTTTTCCTTCTTTTCTGTGCATCACAATTTTAAGAAATAAAAATAATTCTGAAGATATTTTTATGTCCAAAAATATTCTGTGGCATTAACTGCATAATATATTTTTAAACAAATCGTTTTCATATTTCGGTCGCTAACATTATATTTTAAGGCCGCTAACATTATATATGACCAAAAATCCTTTTTTTTTCCGAAACCCAATATATTTTAATATAAACATAAAGATTTAGGGTAATCACTCTTTTAAAAGTCAAAATAGTGATACAAACATATTATTTATATAGATCGAATTAATCAATCAGATTGTCGAAATTCAAAGGTTATGTAGAAATTACCCGCAGCTATTCTGGACTAGATAGCCAACAAGGCCCATAATCTTAAATAAATCTAAGAAGATAATTTTTAAAATTTTCTCTGTATTTTCTGTGTTTGTTTAAAATTCTAATTTAGAAATCAAGACTTAATTCTCATCATTGGTAATATAATAATTGATTACTATTGCTGCATATATTTTCACATTATTATTTGTGTTGCATTTACTATTATATATTAGTATTTATTAAAATTTTCTTTCTGTGAAAGATTTTTTAAAAAATTAAAAAGTTGTCCTTTCCTGTGGACCTCGCGAGATCAGAGTCACAGTCACAGTCTTTATACGATATGATTGATGATCCTGGAGATTAGCAGAGAGTGGAGACAAAATAAATATCCTTGACAAACCTGCACAAAAAAGAAAAAAAAATGTAATATTAAATTAAATCGTAAGAATGGCGTTGCCACCGCCATATCGCATCATTTCCTGATACAGTGCGTCATAGCCAAAATAGTGGCAAATTTTGATTCAGACACTATTGTAAATGGTACCTGTCTGGGTAGCAAATTTGGCTAAGACACTCTCATAGTAAAGTGAACTGCTGTGTTATTGAAAGAAGTAATCATCTTCATTCAGTAATCATCTCTTTTCATTCAGCCACAGCATGAGCCAGCTTATCCAAGTAATTTCTTCCCGTGATGCATAGAATAGTTGCCGTATGAGCAAATACGAATACTTCCAGCGTTTGTAGAATAATGCAAAAAGAACTTAATGAGTTCCCCCCCCCTTTTTTTAATATAAAAAAATTTGGTATCAGCTGCATAATTTATTTGTTGTGTATTTAAAAAATTTTTCATGGTCTTATGAATAATCCTTTATTATATACACCGAAGAGATGACGATATCAGTATTTCTGAGAAAAAATGCGTTCTTATCCGATTGCGCATTTTTTCCTGTGTAAATAACGAGAAAATTTCTAAATAATCTTGATAAAATTAAGTAAACTTAAGTTTTTTAATCTAAATTAAATGTATAAGTAGTACACATTAAATTTTTTAATTTGGCTGAATTTAATGTGTGCTAAACATTTAATTGAGCCAGGAGGACCAGTGCTAGTGTTTTCGTACTAGATCTCGTACTTTTTAGAAATTTTTAATGTTATATTATGTTTATCATCAAATCCAGTATTTTCTTCCTTTTAAAAATAATATGAGAGAGTTAAAGATTTTATACTTTACTTTGAGTGCAGTAGAAGATAGTATTTAGCAAGCTAACATAGCAGTTTTGAATGCCCATAAAACCTTAACTGAAGCTCACTCTTCTTAACATTCACCCTACGTAGTAGTAAATCTAAATTAAATTATTATTTTTACTTGAGGTATCGCTTTTAACTTCCAGTTTCATCAGTAGAAAATAAAAATGATCACAAAATTTTAACGTGTTATGAATAATACTGAAATTTTAACCTGTTATGAATAATATTAACTGATATAGCCAGCCAATAATGCTCAATTTTAAACTGAAAATATATGTGACGGGGGGAGGAGTTGGAACTGGAAGCTGTTTTGAACAAATTTAGATTAATGTGAAATTTAAGAAAGATACATTAAGCCACTTTAATGTGAAATACTTGTCTGCATAAAGTAAGTTTTAAACCAAGGTTTTAAATGTATAAATTTCAAAGTTTTCGTATTTAAAGGTTTAGTGATATTAAACTGTGAAATGTGCAAATCAGACAGTTGATACATTATAGTGCCATTTCTTTTGAATTTTACGAATCTTATTAAAAAAATAGCTATGGAGGTCTTGATAGGGAATAACACCGACTGATGACTGCAGATGTAATAAAAAAATAGTAATAATTAATGGATTTTGGAATGAAGATTTTGAAATAAAATAGGTTGTAGGCAAATAAATGTTTCTTAATTTCACAATATTAGTTAAAACTGCCTTATACCTATGCTATAAATGGAAGAATGTTTCGAACAGTGATAATGAATAAGAATAAAATAAGAAATTTACTAAAATCTTCCTTAAAGAATGAGTCTTTTTGAAAGACAAAAGATTAAAACATGCATCAGCAACAAATTTTATTTACAAATTCTGGAAAATTAATTAATTCAGCAAAATCTGTCAAAAATAATGAATAAATACCTTCAGTGTTTTTCATGTTTGTGAGAATATATATAATTAGCATATTAAACAAATTACTATCTATATGTAAATTGCATAGGAAATAATAAACTGTCTAAATGTAAATAGAAGAATTGAAAAGCTAAAAATGTAATCTTTTTCTTCATCCTTCATTTAGGTGATTACAGATCTTTCTCCATTTCTTAGTTACTGTAGTTGAGGAATTTATGTTGATTTCAAACATAACATAAGGAAACAAAGTCATAAACTGCCTTATAGAGAATGAAGCAAAATAAAATGTAAATTTATTATATTTTTCCCTTAGATCTAGTATCTTTTTCTCACATAAGTTAATACGAAATATTTTTACTGGGTGGTTACCTTGGTCTGAGCTCAGTTTTATACCCTATATTAATGTAAGCACACAATTTTATTTTCATTGTAGATGGAATGAATGTTCCCCATAGTCTCACACTTATACCTGAACATGATGCAGTTTGCGTAGCAGACAGAGAAAATTCGAGAATTCTTTGTTATTCTACTGGCACTGATGGCACTACTGCTGGTGTACCTCTGGCAAGCATTGATTCGCAAGGTCGAGTTTTTGCTTTAGACAAAAGAAGTAAGATATCGCAGATATTCCTTTAAAATATGTATTTAAATAACAAAGCTTGAATTCATATTAAATTTATTCAAATAGGTAATTTTTGCCGCAATCGAGCTGCTTCCTGTTTGCTGTTAAAAAATGTTTTATTAAGTTTCTGTTGAAAATAATTTTATTCCAAAATTCAGTTGAGAAACAACTTTTCGTTATTAATTTATTTACCTTTTTCTCGAACAAAATGTTAAAATTAAAAAATAGTTAAGAACATTTCATTTTAGTATTTTAGTCATTTTTAGTCCAAAAGGGTTTTGTGCCTAAAACTCCTGCATTATATTTGAAGAAATTAAATAATGAAGAATCTGAATAAATGTATATTTTTCTAGCATTGTGATAAAACAACGGTACCTAAGAGCCTCCAATTTTGAATGACGTAATCCTACTGCGAATGTGAGCATCTGAAAGCCCAAATTTGAAATTTGGAATTTTTTTATTATCGACTTCATATTTTGTAAAACTTTAACGAAATTTTCATTAACAAACTCAGCGGTTTAAAAGCGAGTAATAGCAACACTCTACCGGGGGAGACCTTTTTATCTCCAGCGCGAGGAACTGTGTATCGGAAATTCTAAAGATATGCTCTTAAATTATTTCGGGACGTTGCTATTGAACTGAATTGTATGGTTTAAGTGCAAAGAACATGATATTTAATAAATAAAGATAACACACAAAACGTTAAAAAAATCCCTTTGAAAGTAATTTAAAATCTCAATCCTTTCAGATTCTTTCTTTCTTTATTTTTTAAAGCAGGAGACGTGAAAAATGTACAGTGCCCTCGTAGAGTGTACAGTGTGACTTGCACCTTGTACCTCTCGAATAAGTACTAGTATGCTTCCAATTACAACGCGAAAGCATGCGGAAAGGAGGGCTAAAATACCTTATATAATCCCTCTTTTAAAGAGCGACTGAGGACCCAGTCGGCAGACCCAGTCGCCAAATTAGAGGACCCAGTTGCCAGATCCTGGTGATGACGAATTATCGTCCACCACCTTTCAGTTCGGGCGCCACTTGTGGAGTCATTAGTTTTTCTTGGAGCAGGAGACACGAAAAATGTGCAGTGCTCTCCCCGGGACTCGAACCTTGGACCTGTCGAATATTCTTCTAGTTATACTACGAAGGCATGCGGAAAGGAGGGAGAAAATACTTTGTAGTATGCATACCAAAAAAAAGTATATGTCCGGATTACGACATTACTAAACAAAACCTGCTGCGCTTTGCGCTTGAAAGAATCTGACATTAGGTATTAAATGTAATGAAGATTAATATTAGGAAGTGCTAAAATTTGGATATATCTAATAAATAATTGCCAACATTTTACTTTTAATCCAGTTAACAATTGCTATATTTCAAGGTAAAGGAAATGGGTTTGAGATGTTCAGAAGGATACAATACTTCGTTAATGCATTTCTGTTCTGTTTTAAACGTCAAAATAGTTCTGTTATTTTAGACGTACAGCAAAGATGACCAACTACCTTTCAAACGTAGGTTAAACCCGACATCATAGCTTGGTTAAACTCAGTCACCTTCTTGACAATACCCACCTCTAGACATTTATTTATTTAGCACATTAAATCAGCTAACGCGAGATAAGCGACTAAGTGATTATTCAAGATGAAATGCTTTCTAAAGTGTTGTAGTGTCCCTCCCTTTTATTCTACTAAGTGTTGAGGAACCTAGTGAACTACAAGCGAATAATCGCTTAAGTCCAAGAACAGAAACGTAAACTCAAGAAGGGTTAATTACCCTTTATTGCTCAAAATAAAGATTAACAGATGGCCTCTTTCTCAGGGCGTATAACAAAGCCACCACTTGGGCTCAGCTCAAAAATGTAAGAAATAAGAACTAACTAATGACTAACTGAAAAGATTTAGCCGAAGCTAACACAAATTTTAAACTAGTTGGCCCGTAATATTAAATTAGCTAGCCAAGCTATCAAAACTCATGTAATACGGCGGCGCGTAGTGAGCGAAAGGCAAACGCGCGCTAGTCAGGAACCCTAACACTCTCTCTCGAAGTCAGTGGAACTTTGATTTAAATACTTTCTACTACTCATTTGCATTTAACGCGACTCTAAAAACTCATTCTGGTAAGGAATTGTAATCTGCTAGAAGCGATAGGAAGGTGGTATAAACTAAATAACTGTTATGAAATTAGGATATACCTTACAATGTATTGGTTGTTTATATATTCATATATTCTCGTTGATATCTAGAAATCAGATTTATCTAATTCTCTTGAATAATAAGGACGTATAACTTAATCCAAATTCGGCTTGCAAAAGTAAAATAGACTTTACAGCTTTATAGTGTTATGTTGATTACTTTTATTACTATTACAGTCTTATACTCTCATACCGTAGCTTTATACTTTCCTACAATATCAAAAATTCATCAATCAGCTTCTACAGGTATCTTCAGTATTTCTTTCTTTCTTTTTTTTATCTCCTCGTGTTCCACACTGTATACCATGAGGTTTACAGAAGAAAGTTATAGCACTAACAAAATAAACAGATGCAGACTGCGGAAAAAAGAGGGGACTACTATATCTCCCGTTCTACTGGGCCGATTGACGAAATTCAAATTGCGGTCTTCGTGTCTCGAAAGCGCGACTTAGGATATATATTAGATTTATATATAACATTCTTCTAATATAGGTATTTTGACACAAAATCGGACTTCTGAAGTGACATACCAATTTTTTTCCATATATCAATTCTACGACTCAAATTATGCCAAACTGCCAAGTTTTATAAAAATCGCACGAGTAATTATTAAAAAATTGGCTCTCAAAATTTTAGCTCCTCAATGTTAATTGAATTAGATATATATTTATTAACATATCTTTTTTTATTAAATTTATTTGATTCTTCCTTTCACGTTTCGAAATTTAGGTTCATTTCAAATAAATTCGCCCATTTTAATGATTTATTTTTACAATTTGCATTTTGAACTGATTTTTCGAAAAAAAATTTTGAATTATAACCTTTAAAATTTGTATCATCATCTCAAAGTAGATGTATTTCTTAGCAAACCTAAAAAAAATTAGAGTTTTTTATTCAAAATTTCCTAAGATATACGTGAATTTACATATTGGCGTGTTCTGAAATTTGACATATAAGCGATAATAACGCCAAATGTGGTGTACGCACTTTGTTAAAATTATTTGAAAGTATGAACGATGACTTTTTCCCTCTCGTATACAATGAAGAAAAGGAAAGGAAAATAGGTTACTATAAATTAAGAAGTAAGCCAAGTGAATTACTCTTGCCGCAAACTGGGGGGGGGGGGAAATACGCCGATATAAATTTTTGAATTTCTCTTTAAATTTCGCACCAAATTTTACAAAATTTAATATTTAAGCATAATTTCATAGGATCAAAATACGGATAAAAATCGGCATTTCATTTCAGAAAAAGTCCGATTTTGTGTCAAAATACCCATATTAGAACAGTGCTATATGTAAATCTAATATATATCCTAAGTCGAGCTTTCGAGACATGAAAAAACACAATTTGAATTTTGTCAATCGGCCCAGTAGAACGGGAGATATCGAACTGTCCCTTTTTTCTTTGGACAGTATACAATAGAACTAACTGCAAATGCGTAAAAAATATTAAAATAATTTAAAATAATAAATAAATAAGTAAAAGGAAAATAAAATAAAAATTAATAAATGATGAGAACTCTATAATCTAAATTGAGAATGAAATTTCGAAAAGCAGAGTCTCTTTGTCCAAAAAAGTTCAGAAAACATTTGTGACCAAGATACAGACGGATGCTTCAAAAGATGCCTGAAGTATCTTCCTCTGCTGGACATGATGAATGTAAGAATATGCTTAACATTCTCATCGCCGCTACCGCAGCTGCACAAAGCACTTGAAGCAAGTCCAAATCACTTTAAATAGCTCTTAAAACTGCCATGTCGAATCAAAAGTTGAGTTACTTTAAATTCTGTTACAGCTTTTTATTCTGTAAAAAACTGCAGGAAAAAAAACTTTTGTGCATTGTGTTTTGGTGAAGCCAGATATTCTCTGTTCGCACACATAGTGTAATTTCTATAAAAGCGCTTCTAATGAGAAACAGGAACAGGAGCGATTTAAATCAGTATGACGTTTCGTGGCTAGCTTTGCAAGAGCATCAGCTCTCACATTTCCAAAATTTCTACAGTGTTCACGAACGTAAGCAAAATGAATGTCGATATCAAAATCTTGCAAGGTCTTAATAATAACCTGAATTTCATCAGCAAGATTCTTTGAAACTCTGTGATCATTGTAATGAAGGAAGAGAATTTCTACGTGTTAAAATGCGCATTGAACTCAAACCACTGCAAGAATTTTGAATCTGTTTTACAACAAGGTTTAAACATAGCAACTCAGTCTGAAAAATAGAGCACTTATCATTGATTCTGTACTGTTTGAAATCTCTTTCTTGTTTATCTTTCACAAACAACAAAAGCAAGGCCATATCATTCATCTTACTTCCGTCTGTAAAAAATTGATTTATACTCTTCAAAAACTGCTTCGGAATAGACAACAACTTATACAGAATTCCTGTTAAGAGGATGTAGCAAAGAAGAAACTGGAAGACTGCCGTCAAGAAAATTTGATGAGCATTTCCCGTTTTGGAAAATAAAAACTTGATTTAAACTAAATTTATCTAAAAGTCGCCAGCTCTCCATTCTAGAGCTTAATGAATTAAACTAACATTATATACAAAATAAGGAAACTGTCTAAGAAATAATAATTTAATAATTACCTATATAGTAATAATAGATAGTTTAAAAGAAAATTGAAAAATAAAATGATTTTGCGTTCTACTTTCCTACATTTTTAATATTTGTATTAACATTAAATGGCTTAATAAATTAGCCATATTCATCAGAAATATAATTAGCAAACGCAAAAATATGCTCTACATTCAGAATCATAATTAGATGTTTCTCATATATAAAGCAGGTTGAAACTTATATTACTTTAATTTGATACAACCATATGTAGCATAATATAAGAACTGAAGTGTTTTAATACTTTTTGTGTTATTTTATTGCTAAAATACGTTAGAAATATATTTATGCGTAATATATGAATTGAACTTTTTTCAGATTTTATTTTTTATTTTAGGAAAACAACTGTTTGCACTTAATGGGCCAGATTTGTGGGAGAACACTCAATCTGTATCTGCTAATCATGGCTTGGTTATTGATGTCGAATCTGGAATTCCGAGAATCTTATGGGGACCAGACAACGTAAGTTTATGTTAAATGCTGAGAATTATTAATTAGTTAAAAGCTAATATGTCTGACAATTTTTGATAATCATAAGGAATAGTATTTCAATATATTTCCTGTTTTTTCTTATCTTCTTAAGATCTCATTTCATAAAAAAGTTCCATCATTTATAAATTACTTCATATTCTTATTTTATATAAACATTTTCAGTGGCTATCTGATCAATGGTCCATTAGTAAAAAATATGTGAAAAATCGAGCACTAATTTCGCTGCCCATAACTAGGTGAAAAAGAAATAAAATTGAATTTTCTTCATGCGAAATGTTGAATTAAGGAAAGAATTTTGCAATTCTACCTGTGATGACATGCATAAAACTGCGTTTGTTAATCGGGACAGTACGCTATTTTCCTAAGAACAGCAAATAATCATGTTCGAAATTATTTTGCTAGATGATCCTATTCTTATGTCATCGAAGAACTTCACAGAAATATTCTGGCACACTGTTGTTAAAAAGCATTACAAAATTCGCAGTACAAACTGTAATATAGCAAATAGTAGTGCAAACTGGCGTATATCATTCAAAACTTCAAAATTATTACAACTTAAGTCATATTTAATTAATGTAGCCTAGGAATTGAACTCTTCTTGATCAAGTTAAATATCTAGCGTTCTGCAAATTGCTTAAGTTATTCATGGAGACTAGTAACCGATCGTCCTCAGCAGGTGGAACTGACGTTATATAAAACGAGCGTGGTCGCCGCGATCTTGGGATCACCTGACAATTGCATATCACGTCACTGACTTGGATTTTGTCGGGCTTTTGGCGTGTACACTGACGAGCCAAAACATTATGACCATCCCCACATTTTTCAATGAACTCGTCTGGATCACGTAGAGGGCACATGATTAATTGGGAATGGTATATAACTGCTGCTGCAGAAGGTAAGGAATCATTCTTGAGCTTACTTTTGCGAGTGATGGGAAAGGTTGCTGATCTAAGGAATTTGATTGAGAGCAGATTCTAATTACCCGAAGACTCGGAACGAGTTTCTCCGAAACTGAACTGGTAGGTTGTTCACGATCAGCAATTGTTAGTATTTATGCAAAGTCGATAAATGACGGTGAAACCAACAGTAGACGCCAAGGTGTTGGACACCCACGAGTTATCAAAGAAAAAGGACAGCGGAGACTGTCTCGCTTGGTACAGCAAAATCAGCGCCAGACAGTCGCTCAGCTGAAAGCCCAATATAATGCAAGTCCAAGTGCAAATGTTTCGGAACACACAGTTCAGCGGACACTGTTGGATATGGGACTGCGCATCACACGTCCCACTCGTGTGCCTCTTTGTCTAAGCGTCATTGTCAACTACGCCTACAGTGGGCCCGGGAACATCGGGACTGGACCATGAATAAGTGGAAGATAGTTGTCTTGTCGGATGAATCAAATTTCTCATTCATGACGTCAATGGTCGTGTCGGGGTACTCCGTCTTTCAAGCGAGCAGTTGCTCCCCTCTGTACAGTAGGTCATACGCAGGCTGGTGTTGGCAGTATTATGCTTTGGGGAACGTTTTCATGGGCAGCTCTGGAACCCTTAGTTGTGATAGAACAGGCCATGAAAGCTGCGGACTATCTGAACGTAACTGCGGATCATTTGCACGCTTATGGATCATAATTACACTGGATCAGTTCCTTATAATAATTGCACTGGATCGGTTGCTTATCATAATGGCACTGGATCAGTTGCGTGTCATAACTGCAGTGGATCAGATGCTTGTCTTGTATGGCGTCTGTCTTCCCAACTGGAAGTGGAATCTTCCATCTGCACAACGCCCCATGTCACAAGGCTCGAATTGTGTTGGAGTTATTCGAGGAGCATAAGGATGAATTCCAATTAATATCCCAGCCACCTAACTCGCCGTATCAACTCAATAAAGTACATTTGGGATGTCATGGAGCTCAAACACCACCTTGTCGGAATATCTCGATTTTGCTTGACCACTGCTTAGATATTTGGTACAACCTGTTTCCAATCATCTATCAAAAACTTGTGGCATCCATATCAAGGCGACTTTCAGCTGTTTTGCAGCCCAAAGGTCGCGCAGTGCGTTATTAAGTAGGTGGTCATAATGTTTTGGCTGTTCAATGCAGTTTTTAGTCTAGTTTGATGTTTTGTAAGACATCTTTTACTTGTGACATAGACGTGTTTGAATGATGTAATGTTTTTCAAGGTTTAGTCTTTATTTTGTGGAAAACGAAATAATTTTCCAAAATTTTATTTTTTTGGCAACTACTTCATGAATCACGTGTTTTGGGATGACATTAATTTTAATTAATTTTCCTTTATTTCCTTAATTACCTAATTTGTCATTATTTTTAATTATTTAATATGTAATTATTTTTAATTATTTAATCTGTAATAATTTTTTATTGACTCCGACGTCCCAACCACTTCACACCTTTTGTGCTTCCGCGACGGCGAAAGAATACATTTTATGAGGACTAATCAGCTTCTCATTAACAACAATTTTTTTCCTATTTCAACCAATCAGTATATTTGTTAGCTGTAAGGAAACATATATTTAATTGTAAAGGAACATAACTTTAAATGTATTATTTTCTGTTTTGTAAACTTGTTTGTAAATTTTCCCCCTTTTTTTAATTTTTCTTTTTTTATTTTACGAATATATTTTTTCGTTGTTTTCTTTTTTCTGCTCACTTCTTACTAAATTAATTTATCATTTTTTTATTCCATATTTTTTTTTCTTTTGCAAACATAAACTTTATTTTTCAGTTTCAAAAAGTAATTTTCCATATTTTTGTTTTAGAAAGTAATATTTTTTCCTACAAGTTTTTCTTTTTTTTTACTTAAAAACTTTTTTTTTTTTTTTTTACGTTTGCATTTTATTTTACAAAAGTACCATTTACGTCTACAAACTTGTTTTTTTTTTCTTTCGGCATTTATCTAAAAAAATTATTTTATTTTATTTAATTTTTTATACAATTAAATTTTTTCTTGTCACATTTTTATTTTCCGCTTAAATTTTTCCCCGTGTTTTAAATACGTATTGATGTTATATCTCTATTTCTCCAGAAATAAACTTATATATATTTGTCTGTCTGGGAAATTTAAACTGGAATTTCCACGCATGTCATTTCACTCTGGTTTCACCAATTACGCATTGCTAAATATACACATATACTTTCAACATATACTTTCAGCTAAACAAATCAAATACAGGTATTCGAACAGGAATACTTCACAAATTAAGAAAAGATGTGAGCACAACGATCTTAACTAATAAATACGGCAAAGCATGTAACGAACTATATAAGAAAAGACGCATTCAAGGAGGACATTCTAAGGCAGACCTGTTCTATTCTGCACAAAGCTACAACCTTCGTTTCAGATTAAGCAAACATTCAAGAGATAATTTCTGTGTTACTAGAGATTCTACTCAGACCAGTTTGTAATATAAATCATTAAAAAAGTCTCAGACGCATAGGAGAAGTATGCAATAGCTGGAGAAAAACTTCTTCCCAAACCAAGCAGCAATAATGAAATATAAAATGGAATACGAAAATCTCAGATTTGCAATAATTTAACATCTGATTGTGCAAAACATAAACAAGAAATGAATATTTTTTCTGCATGTGTTTTCCAATGAAACAAGCCCTTAACCAATTTCACAAACTGTTGCTACCTCTCTGCGAACTATTTTACTGCTTGTCTGCGAATTCTTAAAATACAGCGAAAAAACAAATAATCACGTTCGCTTGGTTACGGCATATTCCTTTGTCATTCAAAACCTTTTTTCCTTTTGAGCTGTAATATTTCTGAAACTGAATATAAAACAAAAGCTTTCTGATTTATCAGAACGTAAGTGTGGAACCTAAATATAGAATACAGTCATTAAAATGGAAGATTTTAGGACAACTAATGTGCTATAGACAAAAATAAGATTCAAAATACGTCAATATTTTTTATGCACAGTGAGTAAAACTGATTAAGGATTTGTGTCATTCGAAACAAATGCAGGAAAAATTGCTCATGTTTTGCATACTTCGACTTACTTTGTAAGGTTTATCCTAAGTTTATAACAGTCATTTTTAAAGCTCCTTTCCCATTTCTCCTAATTTCAGCTCACAAATTCCTTACCAGAATGAGTTTTTAGAATCGCGTTTAATGCAAATGAGAAGGAGTAGTATTTAAGTTGAAGTTCCACTGAGTCAGAGTTTCTGACTAGCGCGCGTTTGCCTTTTGGCCGCGTTTCTCTAAGCTGTTGCTATGTTCGGCCGTATTACGGGCCCTTGATAGCTTCGCTAGCTAATTCGATATTTAGAGGCCAACTAGTTAGATTTATGTTAGCTTCGGCTACATCTCTTTAGTTAAGTATTAGTTAAGTTCTTATTTTTACACTTTTGAGTTTAAGCCCAAGTGGAGGGTTTGCTGTACGCCCTGAGAAACGGGACTGATATTCTTTATTTTGAGGAATAAAGCGTAATTTACCTTTCTTGAGCCTTCTGTTATTGAACTACTTAAGCGATTATTCGCTTAGCTGTTCACTAGGTTTCTCAACACTGAGTTAATAGATAAAAGGGAGGAAGACTGCAAACTAAACGATTACGACAGGTTTGTATTTATTAAGAATAGATAGGAAAGATCAGCAGTCAATTAAACTGCGGCGAATGACATAATTTTCGAAGTCTTTGTCTAACATGAAACTTCTAATCGCCCACACCATATATAGTATATATATACTTACATATCGCTGAGTCAAACATGTTGTTCTTTTAAGCGTATCAAAAATCGATACTTGAGGTGCTGAAAATGTACAGAAAGCCCAAGCTAACGATCCAGAACAATAGACATAAGTTATAAATGATAAAAACATTCATTGTGCAGACACCGACTAGTTTCTATAAGTTTGAATATAGTGTTTACGTAAAAAAATGTAAGACCCATTTTCGAGATTTTATTCCAATATGAGCCTTTAATTATAGCTTTTAAAAATATGTAAAAATGTTAGTTAATAGTATTTTGTGTAAGTCTGCACAGAAGAAATCTTTTAAGCAGTAATTACTACAGTTGCACTGGCTATATAAAAGTAAAGAGAATTTAATACGAATTTAATGATAACGTATATGCGTACGTATTTGTACAAAATGCTTCAGTGTAGAAGTCATAAAAGCAGGAAAATATAGTACCCTTATCATTAGGCTCAACTTGTAAGTGCGTATATTGTATAATCATGATTCAATTGCGAATTTTAAGTCATTTATCTTCACATAATCTCTTATATTTAATATCTCAATCGTATGTATTTTTATTTTTCTTATATTTTCCGGCCTTGAATATTCTTTTACAGTAACGTGTAATACAAAATACTTCTATCTGAGTTTACCTTCTGTGTGTACTTCATAAGCTTTCTTCACTGTAAATCTATATTATCTTTGCAAATGAACTTGAATTCATATATTACTTAATAGAAGTAGAATATGCAGTTGTTTGTATTAGTGGAAAGGGTAACGTGCACGAGTCACATTTTCCAACAGGTTTCTTCGATGTGGAACTTATGTACGATCCTACCAATTACATTTATTGTTATTAAAGTCTACTATTAAAAGTCACAGAATCGCAAATGTTAAAACATGAGCGAAATATTTTGTATTAGTTCCTTTTAAGGTGTAGAGACATTAGGCATTTTTATAAAGCAGGGTGTAGAAAAATGAGAAATCCCCTCGCTGGGACTCGAACCACGGACCTCTCCAAATACGCGCCGAGTTTGCTGACCACTACAGCATGAAGGCATGCTAAGAAGGCGGGAGAAACCTTATAACGATATCAAGATCTGAGGGCTGATCATCCTAAATTTTTCTTATTAGTTGGTAATATGTTACTATGTTTGGTTTAAAGACTAATAGATACTGGAATCTTATGAATACTCTGTACCTGCAAAACAAACTTCTTCATTGACCTGAAACTGATGATGTGACTTCATGTGGTAGTTACCGAAATGAATTATAGAATCACTGATGTCCTTAAAGGCCTTTGTAATACCATTATTATTATAAATTTGGTATAGGAAAGACCTTTCATAAGTTACGGAAGGGTAAAATTGATATGAAAATTATAGAGAATTTCATAATGAAACGTAAATGAAGCACAGACCGAAAATGCTATAGCAGTAATTATTTCTTTATATTAGCGGATTTTTTTTTAATAACTGACAAACATTTTCTCCATGGCTGCAGTGGGAATATCATTATAAAAAAATTTTATCTTAATTTAGTCCGAAATACTCCTGGTTCTAAAATCAGATTACATTTAGGTCAGGTACATACCATTGTCTCATTCATAAGGTTTCTTTCCCCTCTTTCAATGGGCTTCATGCACTACTTTGGGACATTAGCTGATTAAAATTAGAATGATATGTGAATTATTGTATAATATATATAATCATTGCTCCTCATTGCATTGTAGAAACCTGTTCGATCTTTGGAGTTCTTTGGTATATTGCAATTTCAGTTTTAAATTTAAAAAACTAATTTACGTATCTTAGCGATGTTTAATAGCCCTCCATCCCAAACAAAAGGAGAAGGAGAACATATTTTGAGTTTTTTTTAAAATTTAATCAATTAATGCATCAAGCTGAAACCTAAATATCAGATTTTCTGATTTATTTATCTAACTTCGATTCTAGTAAAAAGCTGTGGAGTGTTAATCAGTCACTGCTGAAAACAACTTTTCAGTATTCACCATGAATTCACTTCGTCATTTTCAGTAGTAGATAGATTTGAAAAATTGTGTCTTAATTGAATTAAATTGTGATTAATTTTAAGGATAATTTTCAACTCTTTGACTCTTAGAGTTCATAGCCTTCGAGGTTTTCTACAGACAGAGTTTAATTTATTCTCCATTTCTGAAGATTACTTGAATATTAAAAGAGTAACAAAAAAAAAAAAAAATCTGAAAGGTTTCAGATTTTAAATTACGTCTAAAGGGGATCATTTTAAAGTTTTGTGTGTTACCTATATTTATTAAATATCATGTTCTTCGCACTTAAACCATAAGATTCAGTTCAACAGCAATATCGCAAAATAATTTTAAACGAGCATATCTTTTGGAATTTCCGATACACAGTCTCGCGCGCTGGAGATAAAAATGATTTTTTTTTTCGTACAACGTTGCCATTGCTCGCTTTGAAAATCGATGAGTTTGTTAATCAAAATTTCGTTAAAGTTTTACAAAATATGAAATCGAAACAATAAAACAAATTTCCAAATTTCAAATCTTCTAGATGCCTATATTCGGGTGGAAACGATTACGTTATTCGAAATTTGGTAGCTCTACGTACCTGTTGTTTTATCACAATGCGAGAAACATACATACATTTATGCAGATTCTTCATTCATTTAATTTCTTGAAATATAATACAGGGCTCTAATATTTAGTTGCGAAACAATTTGAAAAATGAACCGACATTATAGTGAATCAACACAAAATGCCAAAATGAAATTAATAGTCCTTCTGGGCAAATCTCCCCTTTGGACTAATAATTGAGCTGCGTCAAATAATTACAAGCGGGTACCTAAAATACATCTGTTTGGTTTAAGATGGTTAAGATAATAGTACATTTGTAATCAAATATTTGAAATAGCTGGAGTACACTGTATTAGACATTTTAATACAAAATTAGTCTCAAGATTACTTTGTACAGAACTATGTTGCAGTGATCACTGATAGTACACAAGAATATAATTCAGTCTGAATTTTAATTTTTGTTTTTTAGCTTTATTATACATGACAGTATTATAAATGAAATAATAAATTATTGATAGCTGTATTTCAAGTAAAATATTATTAATGTTCATGAAACCATTCTGTTTTAGGGTTTTCTGTTTCCACATGACCTGGCTGTATCTCCTGATGGCAATTATGTTTATGTTTCAGAGATTGATTTATCTGCCCCCAAGCGAGTGTATAAGTTCAATATCTGGGACTGAGACTCACAAATAACAACGCAATAATAATAAACCGCAGCATTAAAAATCAGTTTTTTGCAGAAATATTTCATATGTTTGGTGTATTCAAATTTCTCAGTTCGACACTTCTAAAATTTTTGTTAAATTTCTAGATAAATGTGTTCATGTTTGTAAATATTTCTATTTTTATTTAATTGTACTTTATTTTGCTCACGATTAGATAGTTTATTACATTTTGCTTGACTTACAGTGTTTTAGATCATTAATCTGTGCACTTACATTATAAAAATGAAAAGTATTTTTATTATAAATTTAATTAAAATGGTTTGATGTAAAAGTTAAGTTTATAAACTTTTACTTTTCATTCTTTATAACTTTATAAAGTTTGTTAGAGTCTAAAGAAACACATAAAGCCGTTTAACAATTATAATGATCACCACAGGAAAAAGTCATACCATAAAGTCAAGAGACAAATACAATGGCTGGAAAGCAAAAAATTGTTTTTCGCCATTTACTTAAAATATTTCATTAATACTTTACATAATATTATGTTGTATGTATATATATATATCTAAAGTAAAAATGTAGTAAAAAGAAATTTAAAAACCGAATGATCAAGCTAGTCAAAAAAAGGACTGATTATTTAAATTGAATTTAAAGAAGAAAGGAAGTTTGAAACCTAGTAAAAGTCGTTAAAATATTTAGTTTTCCTATCAAAATTCAGAAACACTATGTAATATGAGTGATAAAATAAATTTAAAATATTTTTAAAAAAAACTATCCAAACTACAGAAAAAATGAAAAATGTATAGAAAAATATTTGTTAATCTTCTCTGTTCAAAACTTCAAACAGAACTTGTCAAGGAAAAAGTGCTTGAAGCCTCCAACCAAGTTGATTAACCAGATCATACAATGAAAACATAATTGTTCAAAGTATTTTCGCATAATATGCTGTTAAAAATTGATTAGTAGAGACGAAACGTAAGAAATTTAGAACCTATTTTACGCAAAGACCTCAAAAATGTAAAATTCAGTACCAATAAATTTCAAAATATCCTATAAAATTATATAAAAGAATCAAGGAAATATGAAATTAAAACCTAAAAATTATAAAAACCTGAAAATATACACCAAAACCAGAAAAAGAAGAGAAACTCTATTAAATCTGATATAACATTATAAAGAGGATGAAAGATCAGACTCAATTACAGTCTCCTTTCCACTGAGAACCCTTGCATTCCTGTATTTAAAATTAGCTAATGAACTATTCTGAAGTTTTTTAAATTAATAACAGTTCATCCGAAAATTTTGAAGCCCTTCTCGACACAAGGTAAATTTAATGTCAAACCAAAAGAAAAATAAAATTAGACTTTTTCACTGAATTTAAAATTGAAATAAAAAAATAAACCGAGAACATGAATAAAAGCTTATTTAGAAGACGAAATAGTAATCCGTTAACATAAAATAATAACATAAAAGAATGTTAATAACATAAAAGAATACAAAAAGCAAAAAATTCTGAAAGGCAAAATATAATTAATGATATTTTATCTTATATTTTCAAGAGAAAAAAATTACACAACGAAATAAGCTTATTCCTTAATAAAATATTAATTATCCCTAATAAATATTAACCAACCAATTTCGTTGAAGAAACAAATTCTGCAAAATTTTTCAATTCTTACAAACAGGACAAAGCAAAAAAATAACATGAAGCAACTCAAATAACATAAAATTCCGCGCCGAATTTTACTCTGCAGACACTTTTACAAAAAATAAAAAATTGTAATTACTATATATAAAAATGACAATGAAATATGCCAGTTCTCTTAAAAACAGTGAAATAGAAAAAATAAATTGTTGCCATATTCAGAAGAAAAAACCTTTCAAAAATGATGCGATTTCATCAAAAATCATCAACAACAAGACAGGAAAATGGTGCCAAAATCACATTTTTAAGATTGAGATGTGAGAATGTACTCAGAAGTCATTTAAAAAATTCTTTAAAAATACAAAGTATTAAACATTTTTCCAAAATCCTTTTTGTAAAAGCGTCGCAAGGATGAAAGTTTAACGTAACTAAAATCAAAGAAAAATAAAGAAAAATAACGTTTTTAAAAAAAATCCCCGTTGAAAAGGTTTGTTAAGATCCCTTGTTAAATAAATTCGATTTAATCGATTATTGAAACACAATTTATTTTAAGTCGTAAAATAGCTAAGTGCCTACGTTCATTGACGATGTGAAATGGTGTAGAGTAAATCTCGCTTTCCTAGAGCCATTACGTCTCAAAATGACGCATTTTCGTCACGAAACATAAAATTTAAAAAAATTAATTCGAGTTCGGAAAAAATCGCTTCGAGGTGCACTGGCTCTAGTCTAGATGCACCTATGTACCAAATTTCGTAGCTGTGGGTCTATTAGCTTACGCGCAGCGCGAACGAAAGACACACACACAGACAGACTCTTTCTTTTATTATACTCGTATGTAGAGATAAGATTGTTTAAGGTAAGGAAACTTTTAAGTTTCGCAGCTGTACCCTATGGCATTAAGACGGGCATCACGGAGAGTCTAGTCTTTTGCAATTCTCTTGAGAGCTCACATCTACGAAACAATATCTAGTAATCAATATCACTTAGCGGAATCACTGAAGTAAAATTCTGGGAGGGATGGGAAATAACAAAAGAACTGCTTAACAATTTTCAGAGGTTTAGGGTTATTTTCCCGACATTTTACGGGAAGTTCGGTCCAAAACTAGCGACAGTTTTAAAGGGATTCGCAGAAAAACACTCGACAAGCTAAGGGTTAATGAATGTTTCCCACCACCGCAAATATCGTCTGCGCAAACAGTTCGCGTTGGCGTGTTTAATCATATTTTGTCAAATGATTTTTGGCCTTTGAAAGAGAAAGACTTTAGAATACTGTGTTGTGAAATTTGTAAACAAATGTCGACATCATTAAGTACAAGCTGTTCTGAAATGAAGGTACCACGCCACCTGATTAGCACCATCATTTACGCCCAGTTCTGTTTCAAAACATCAGTTATAGAATGTTACTAAATCATGTATACAGCTTTAGGTACTGTTACGAATTTGGTATTTAAAAAGTTAATGTTAGTTCAATTATAAATTAAATGGTTTTATTTCTCGCGCAGTGCAGCGCGTGACGAATATTAAAAGAAAGCTAAGCCGGAAAATTGAAAATACAAGAGCGCGTGCATTAAATAAATAAATATCTCTTTTTGCTTTCGAGAAAGTACTGGAAAATTCTAGCGCGTGATTTTAAAAGCTTATAAAAGGAGGAAAACATCTCAGTTTGTAGCAGTTGCTTAGTTTGTTGTTGTTTAGAAAACTGCTCTTCGTTCGATTGTAGCGAATTCGCGGATTAGCGTTCTTTAGCTTGTTTGAATTACGTTCTATTGGACATTTGAGTAGTTAAAAGATAACTACTGTGAGATATTGTAATACTGCATGATAATTTGAGAAAATTTAAGCATTTTTGTTGTGATATAAAAAATTTTTTGTTACATTTTTCATCGGACTTGTGCATTCATTTCATAACGAACCCGTACGCACGCAACAATTTTTTGGTGTCAGAAGTGGGATTTGAATGCCAATAACAAGAGCGATGGAAGAGCAATTAAGGCATTTTAATATCAGCCTTTGCCCTCATTTAAAGAAGAAATGAAATTGGGCCAGGAATCCGTTAAGGAAGAAATGAAATTGGGCCGGAATCCGTTAAGGAAGAAATGAATTGGGCCCAGGAATCCGTTAAGGACGAAATGAAAGCCGTTTCAAGCTGGTCAAGAAGAAATGAAAAGAGAAATTACCTGCATAATAGAAAACAAATTTGAAGCTATGGAAGGCAGAATTGACACAGTTTGAAAATAAAGTTGGACAAATTGAAGAAAAAGTTTCTTCTGTAAAAGACAAATGAAGAAAAAGTTCTTCTGTAAGATCAAATTGAAGAAAGAGTTTTCTTCGGTGAAAGAAGAATAGAAAGAAAAGAGTTTCTTCTGTAAAAGAACATATAGAAGGAAGAGTTTGTGCCGTCCAACACCCAATCGAACAACAAATTGATGATAGGGTTTCTGCGTGCCAAAGAAGTGGAATTTAAAGAAATTTAGCGAGCGAAAAAGTTTATTTTAAATTTTTACCATCGTTCTGTTAATAGAAAGCCCCCCCCCCCCCCCCCACCCCCCCCCCCCCCCCCCCCCCCCCCCCCCCCCCCCCCCCCCCCCCCCCCCCCCCCCCCCCCCCCCCCCCCCCCCCCCCCCCCCCCGCCCCCCCCCCCCCCCCCCCCCCCCCCCCCCCCCCCCCCCCACCCCCCCACCCCCCCCCCCCCCCCCCCCCCCCCCCCCCCCCCCCCACCCCCCCCCCCCCCCCACCCCCCCCCCCCCCCCCCCCCCCCCCCCCCCCCCCCCCCCCCCCCCCCCTCCCCCCCCCCCCCCCCCCACCCCCCCCCCCCCCCCCCCCCCCCCCCCCCACCCCCCCCCCCCCCCCCCGCCCCCCCCGACTGGGAATTTAATCGCGCTTGGGCTGCGCTTGGCGAGAAATTTTAAAAGACTACAGCGCTTCAATTAAAATCCGTCAACAGAAGCCCACCGAACACTCCAGGAACTCGCACGGATGTTGAAAGGCTGTCCCACCTCGCCTTTACGGAGTGCCCGAGAGAAACGAGGGAAATCCTGTCCTGTTGCAATATTTTCGATCGATGCATCCGGGACCCTGAAATACAGAAAGCACTGCGAATGGCGGATGTTAAAGATTTGAAAAGCGCTTTAGTGTACGCCATGAAATTCGAGGCAGCCCAGCAAGCCACTCGTCGAGACCGCCACCCAGTCAGAGCTGCTCAAGTCCAGGAGCCAGGGAATAAAGTCACGCTCGTCTAGACGATTTAACTAGACAACTGAACGCCTTGAGACGGAATATTGGTGAGAAGAAACCGACCGTTAAGTGCTGGAAACTGCGGTGCTGAAGGACACATACGACGAAACTGCAGAATACCCCAGGGTACGGATGTTAAGACCGCTCCTAACAAACAGCAGGAAACTAATTAGTGGCCATCTCGTGGGGCGGAGGTTGCCA